AGACAGTGTTTTTTGAAAGATCAGATGGTAGAATATCAGTAAAACCGACCGAGAAAAAGATGGAAGGATGATGCTGAAGTCGATTTATCTAGAATTTGGGTACAACAATGGCAAATAGAAGCGCAAGATCGTAGAGGATGGAGGGCGATAGTGGATGCGGCAAAGACTCACCGCGAATTGTGATGTCAGTGAAGAAGAAAAGGATTTATAAAATAAAAATCAATGTTTATAAATAAGAAATTGAGTGTGGCTATATATTGAGTATGGCTATAGATTGAGGCTCGTCAAATGTTATGTATGGTCACAACTGCTACATGGAGTAGAAGCTTGGACTCTGAAAGCTCAATCCGTAAACGTATTCGAAATGTAGCTATATAGGCGTATTCTTAAAATTCCTTGGACTGCAAAAGTCTCTAACGAGAACCTGTTTTGAAAGAAACTCAAAAGACGAAATGGGCATTGCATAAAGCTTAAAATGCAATTAAAATAAGAAAAACATCGTATATGGGCCACATACTTCGAAGCAATAAATACTCTCTGCTACACGTCATCATGCAAGGAAGAATAGAGGGAAGGAAAGGCTTGGGGACCTTACCTGATGGATACCAGAGATTGGACTAACTGAACAGATATAAGAAGTAATTGACAATCTTCGTTAGAAGACGGCACAATAAGAAGAAACAGATAGGTATAGGGAAAACCATATGAACACATTAAAGAATTATCGAAAGGTTTTCAGAACTTGGAAAATTAAAAAGAAAATCAATCAGAAAAGTAATAAAAAAAAATATTAATCAGTCTTCGTGTCTAACGATGGTAAAAGAAAATTAAAATATAGCAAAATAATTAAATAAAATAAAAAAAAATTATTAAATAAAATATCATATTTATGTACTTACCTAAAAATATAAATAATGTATTTCCAAAGACTAATTTTATGTATCACACTATAAATGCATAATCTGCTTAATTTTATAAATAAAACTATGTAATTTAGCACTGTTCAATTGCGAGTACTTAAAATACGATCCGGGAAATATATTCTTTAAAATTGATTCGTCAAAGGATTACACTGCTTAAGAATTGTTTACATACATTAATTTAAACGTGTTGCAATATATTTTGAATGTCGCAACACTAAAATGTAATTGATTAACGTTATTAATTGAAAAGTTTATAAATATGTCTTAAAAATTCTTAATGTACACACATATTAAAGAAGTTCGATAAGATATGACTAATAGGTACATGCGTTGTTTAATTAACGCAAGTATTAACAAAGCTTTTCGACATAATTTTGGAACCTTCAATACACTTAAATATTTTGAATATTTAAGTTAATTGTTTTGAAGATTTTAATTTAAAATACAAAGTACATCAAAACACACGATAGTATGGACCGTTGCAAATGCTAGATATACAGACATCCACAAATTTATGTAATCTTCCTGTAGGTACTTAGTAGAGATTAGAAATCTAAAAAAATGCATATTTTCAAAAAAATCTCAGCTTCCTTATTAGTAGAGACTGGATTATATGCTCTAAAAAATGGTTAAAATATGCATGCAACATGCACTTAAAAAGTAACCAAATATGCATTTATTATATGCAATATGCATTTATAGATGCACTTAAAAAAAATATTTTTTAATTTTTAGGGCTTGAGATTTGGTGAAAAAGAAAATTATGGTATGACTTAGAGAGTGTTTATTTATTACTACATTTAATAAAAATATATAAATGAAAATTCAAAAGAAAATGTCCTTGTTCTTGCTGTTACAGTATATAATCATAAAATGTTCAATATTTTCAAGAGTAATGTTATGCCTTCTATCAGTTAATATGTGTTTATATGAGGAAAACGATCCTTTACTATTACAGGATGTAATTGGCGCAAATCTAAAATTTGACACTAGCGAGGGATCCATATTAATAACTTCGTTAAAGCTTCCATTGAGTATGTTATTTGATCGAAATAAAATAAAACTTCATTCCGGTTTAAAACTTCACTGCATTTATCTTTAATTTTTTTCCAATTGTCCCTGAAATGTTTACTATTCTTTCTTTGACAGAATCAACAATGAAAATACTATCATTTAAAGATCATTTTTGACTCTCTAGTTTTGTAATTAAGTTTATAATTACGTCAAAATTTGCTTTTATATAGGACAGTTCATTCTAAACAGAATTCTCACTAAAAATATTTTGACATTTCTGAACAGCAAGACAACAACAAGGATCAAAATTTGATATAGCATTTTTGATATCAATATAATAATTTGCAAGAAATATGGCACTATTCAACCACGTCCCCCATCTAGTCAACATTGGTTCCGGTGGCAAAGGGATATCGGGAAGCATCTCCCTATATACTTCTACTCGCAATGGTGCTTTTAACTATACTTTCTTTACATTGTTTATTAAAGTGTTTACATTTGGAAACTCGAGTCTAACTTTCTCTGCCACCCTGTTTAAACCGTGCGCTAAGCATGTACAATGAATCAAATTCGGAAAAAAATCTTAAGACTAGTAACAGCTTTAACCATGTAGGAAGCAGCATCGCTAACTAGTAGCAAAATTTTTTAGAAGGTACTTGATTTGGTAAAAAGAAATTTGTCAAAGATTCATTAACAAATCGAGCAATTGTTGCATAGTTGGTTTTTTCGAAATATTTTACGCTGATTAAATACGACTTGTTGGAGTCATCAGCTGAACTGTTTAAAACCACAGATAAATATCCACAGATATTCATCTCTTATCCGGCAAAATTTCAACGGGTTACTTGAATAAAGTGACCTTACAAGACAATTAACCACTTTAAAAAAAAATGAATTTTGACATACAAAAATTGGTAAATAAGTCGATTTTTTCAACTTTTTCTTCAAATGTGAGGTACTTTGTTTTTTTTTTTTTTTTTTAATTAAAATGTTCAATTAAAAGTGGTTGATTGACTTGCAAGGGTGCTTTCTTTGAGCAATGCCGTTCAAATTTTATGTTTAAGATGTACCAATCCTGAGAATATTTGACAAAGAAAGACATGAAAAATAAGTCCAAATTCTAAAGACAAAAAACATAGACCACAGGGACTTACAAATAATAACAAACCTTTACTGGAATCAAAGAGCACAAATCGTAATAGATAACGAACCCAGTCCAGAAATTGAAGTCAGGAGACGAGTTAGGCAGGGATGTATTATGTTGCCAGTACTATTTAATCTATATAGTGAAGCCATTTTTGAAGAAGCATTACTAACTCAAAGTAAAGGAATAATAATTAACGGAAGATCTATTAACAACATAAGATATACAGATGACACTGTGATTATGGCAAACTCTGCTGAACAACTTCAATTACTGCTAAACAAAACAAACAGTTTCTGTGAAAAATATGGACTAAAAATGAATATAAAAGAGACCAAATACAATGATAATAACAAAGAAAACAAATATACCAACAAACATACATTTGGGAAATGTATGGATAGAAAGGGTTGATAAATACAAATACCTAGGAACCTGGATTTCAGACAATAATGATCAAACAACCGAAATAAGAGCTAGGATAGAAATAGCAAAAAATGCGTTTTTAAAAATGAAAACAATTCTCTGCAACAAAGATCTTAGATTAGAACTGAGAGTAAATGCACTGAGATGCTATGTGTTTTCGATACTGCAATATGGACTTGAAAGCTGGACATTGAAGCAAGAACACATAAATAAGTTACAGTCCTTTGAAATGTGCTGTTAAAGGAGGATGCTTAGAATAGCATGGACACAGAAGAAAACTAACACGGAAGTATTGCGAAAAATGGGCAAAGAATGCGAAATAATAAACACAATAAAAATAAGAAAGTTACAATATCTGGGACACGTAATGACGGGACACTTAAAAATGAAGAGAAGAATTCTGAGAATCAGACTATTTTGTGGCTTGTAGCTTAATGAATTTTAACAGACAGAAACAGTAGTTTCTGTCCCCAATTTTCTACCCCCAATAATCTTACCCTATGGTAGACAAAATATATTCGTTACAATGTTTCTGAAATGTAGGTGGCGATAGGAAATATTAATGCTCGACCAAGCTATAATTTTGAGCTTTTTGTAATAAAAATGTTCTCCCATATTTTTATGGCTTCACTGCTGTTTGGTTGTTTCTCTTTTTATTGATGATCATTACTATACTAACTGTTCCCAACTTATTCATAATGTGTTTCAGTTCTTCCGCTGAAGATAACTTTGTCATCAGCATATCATAGGTTTTTGATTTTTCTTTCTCATATTGTTGCTTCACCTTGCTATTCTTGTCATAATGTGTTCACTGTATATATTGAATAGAATGGGGGATATTATATATCCCTGCAGAACTCTAGATTTTAATTTTAAGTTTTTCGAAACCAAAAAGTTAACTCTTACATTAGCAGTATTATTTACATACAGTTCTTATAATAAATAGATTATATGTTCTGGCGTACCCATTTCCCTATGTATATGCCAAATTTTATCCCATTTTACTTGATTAAAGGCCTTGGATTATTAACCAAAGGAATAGTTATGGACAAAAGCCTTGGAATAGACAAAGCACAAACATTAAGTTTATTTGACAAATATTAAGAAGTTGTTCTCTTATATTGTTCCTCTAACTGGGATGAATAAACATCATTCTTAGGAAATCTGTGGTAAGGAATTGATTTTAGTCTTTCATTGATGATGGTAAGGAGTAATTTGCTTCAGAATATTAATCCTACTGAACTGTATAATTAACCTTTTTTATAGATGCTGATTCTGAAATAATTAAAGGATTCCATACATTTACCTTATATTCTATACAAAATAACAACTAGTAAGTAGGCTGAATATGATGAATTTAACTATGAATTACAATTCAATTCAATTATAATTAAACTGCTGAGGAAGAAATTCTTCATCATTCTACATTTCAATACTGGTTATTTTCCCAAATTCTTAAAAGCATTTCGAGCACTTAAAAAATAAAAACTTACCAAAAAGCTTCAATTTCTGCATCAGTTATTTGAGGAGGATCGTCTATTAAGTCACATTTATTTCCACATAAAAAGATTTTGGCATTCTCAGCATAAGTAACGATATCTAATAAGTGTTGTGAGAGGACATGAAATGATGCTGGGTTGTCGAATGAAAAGACTAAAATGGCTGCTTCAGCAAATTTGTAATAACTCGACGTTATGGAAGCTACCCTTTCCATTCCTCCAGTATCCCACAGTTGTAGCTGTAAAGATATGGTTATATAATAAAAATAAATAATTTTCCTATAATTTGCATTATACAGTAATTGGTAACTATGCACAATACATTAATACAAATTTATGTTGGTAGAGCTTAAGCTCAAATAATATCTATATTATAACATAATATCCTATGGTCTTTAATTGAGTATCCAAACAAAACAAAGGACTTACTTATATTTCTGACTTATTTTAATACAAAATATCTATAGATACTAATTTATAGATTATTATATTATTTAATACAAATACTTACCTTTAAATCTCTATCACAGACATGAAACAATTTAGAACAATGATCCAATCCCAAAGTCGATTTTCTGTCGGTAGCAGTTACAAAAGTATTATTGGTGTATCTTCGAAAAATTGAACTTTTTCCTACACCATATTCTCCACACAAAATAACCTTTTGCTCAGGAACTCGAATTGAAGCCATCTACTGCTTCTAAAAACTTGTAGAATTTAAAAAGATGCACACTCAGTAACTTGACATTTAATTTTGACAAATATAGCTTAAAAACAAAACAGAGAAGTTAGCAGTAGATCAAATGAACAGGTTTATGTTTGTTTATTTTGGTTGTCAGTATTTTTAAACAATAAACAGTTTATTATTATATTCGATACTTTTACACTTTAGAGAAATGTACTAATACGTATTTATATGATATTCAAAATATTTAATTACAGAAATACTTCTACAATATACACCTGTGTTTTGCTGGGTAGATCGACTTTCAACTTCCTTACAAATTATCTTATCTACTGCTATAATAGGTTCAATCTCAATCAGCTGATTAGAGCGACCATAATATTTTTAATATAAAATAATGTCTGATAAAATTGTTAAAACTATCATGAGATCGAAACCTATTCGTATGTGGATAGATGGCAATTGCTTTAACCTGAAAGAATATAAATGGAAACAAAAAAGAGGTATCAAATTTCCTAGACTAGTTTTAAAAGGTAAGACTTAGTAACAAGTAAAATTACTACAGGCAATTTTATTTGCAGATATAATAAACAGTAGTAATGCTACTAAACATAATATAAAAATTGTTGGGAATGACAAGAGTATTGAAAATAATGACAAGACTATTGAGTGTGATAAAAATATTGAGAATATAGCCGCGAAAGATACAAAAGAGGTGTGTGATATTCAGTTAGAAGCTGATAGTCAAGGGATCTTATCTACAAGTATTGAACTGCCTGTGTAAGTTGAAAATTGATAGATGTATGTTGGACAATTGGATCCATTAAGGAAATACCAATATAATGATAAAACATCAAAAATCACCATAAAAATTCGGCAAAACTTGTTATTAATAGGGGTTGCTACAAATTTAATCCACCATAATACAGATGGTATTACTGAAATGATTAAAATTTCTGACTATTATGGTTTAGCTGGTAGTTATATTTTATCAAAATTTTTTTTAAATATATTCTTTTTCACTGAAAATGTTTATTTTTTGAGGTATAAAGGTATAATGAGCTTGCTTCTATTGATATTGTAGATAATAATTGCTTGACACATTTTCTTCTAAATTTCAATTAAAATATTTACTTATCACTTTGTGAGTGTTTTGAATAGTGAAGTCTAGTGACTATACCTACATTTAATAACAGATATTACCTCTTTATCTAAAAAGTCAGTCAAACAATGAGCCATGTCTGGTTTCATGTTATGTCTGGGTGATCAGTTATTTCATTTGCCATTTCCAGTAAGATTTGATTGATGTTTAACAGATGATATGAGAGGTTTTTTCTTTTTTAATTATTATACATATTGCTTTACTACCTACATACAGTTGTAATATTTTTATGTATTCTAACATTTATTTTTTAGATTCTACTACAATAAATTGAACCAACATCATTTTGAAAATATAAATGAAATTAAGAGTAAAACAAAAACGGATATATTTATACCAAAAAATGAGAAGACAGAAAAAGTGGTTATCTCTGGAGGTGATGAAGGAAGTATAAAGGAAGCTTTAAATGAAATTCATTGTATATTGGGTCAAATTAGAAATATGGCAATGGCTTTACAGTTCATTGCAATTCGATTGACAAGTGAAGAAATTAAAACTAATTTTGAAAAATTCAAAAATGAAATATTGGCAGAAAGTTCTTTGAGAGGAATGCATGAATCGATATTTCAAAAATCATTAAAATTGCATCTGACCATTGATATATTTGTGTTGTTAAATGAAAGAGAGAAGAAGGAGGCAGTTCAAGCTCTAGAAGACTACAAAGAAAGTGTTTTGAAGTACATAAGTATAAAATATTATTTTTATTTTACTTTAACTAATATTTTCCTAAGATCTGCAGTTGCTAGATGATCAGAACCTTAAAGACAGTTATAGTTCAAGCTCAGATTGAGCACTGGGTATTATCAGATAAGGTTGATGACATTATGCACGCTATCATTTTTTATTAAAAACTTTTCAACCCGATTTGTCATTATTTCTAGGAGTTTAAAATGTCATGGAAATATTTCACTAATTGTACCAATAGCTGCTGTTTCTCTCTGCTCTTTTACATGTTATTTATAACATTAATAATATCTTTGGCAACAAGTCCTGCTTTAATTTTTCCTGTTGTTCAGTTCAACTATTTTCTGATTAAATCCATGAGTCTTTCTGATATATCATCAGCTGCTTTCCATTTGCAAGAGTTGCTCACCATGTAAATTAGTTGCAACATTTTTATTCCATTTCTAGAACTATTTTTTAGATACAATTACCAGATAAAAGAATCATACTGATTATTCTCATCTTCAATGCTATTCTGCTATTAAACTACTGGCCAAAGCTCTTTAAAACCGCTGAAATAATACTAATCCCAAAAACACAGGAAAAAATCTAAACAAGGTTTCATCATATAGACCAATCAGCAGTTGTATCCAAAATACTTGAAAGGTTACTGTTACAAAAAATTAGCTCAGACCCCAATATGGAGGAATGGATACCCAACCACTAATCTGGCTTTGATAAGGTTTGGCACACAGGCCTGATTTTCAAAATCAAGAAATATTTACCCATCACGTATCTGAAACTGTTAAAATCCTATCTGGGTGGGAGAGAATTCCAAACAAGAGTGAATGAAAGTAATTCCAATAATTTTCCTATAAAATCTGGCGTTTTTGGACCAATATTATATGTGCTATACATAGCAGATCTACTCTCCACTAATGAAACCATCACTGGCACATTTGCAGATGATGCTGTCATCCTTGCAGCTGACGAAAATCCAATTATAGCATCTAACATTCTACAGGTACAACTGAATGAAATCGAGACATGGTTTTACAAGTGGAGAATTAAAATAAATAAAACAAAATCAGTCCAAGTGACTTTTACCTTGAGAAGAGATGCGTGTCCCCCAGTTTCACTTAACAATATCCAGCTTCCCCAATCCTCTAGCACTAAATATCTAGGAATACATCTTGATTCAAAACTCACCTGGAAAGAATATATTCTTAAAAAGCGGAAACAAATGGACCTAAGAATAAAAGATCTAAACTGGTTAGTAGGCAGGAAATCGAAACTGAACCCTGAAAACAAAATCCTTGTATGCAAAACCGTCATAAAACCTATTTGCGTAAGAGAGATTTGCGGAGTGCACTTTCAGACCCCACGTTAGCCATAGAGGGGGTTGGGTGATAGTATGGGCAGGAATATCACGAGAGACGCACACTGAATTGATATTTATTGAGGATTCATTCACTGCACACTGATATATTGAAGAAATTTTAGCGAATCCTGTACCATTTTCTCAATATATGGGCGATGATTTTCTATTAATGCTGGAACTCGCGACCCCACTCTGCAATGTGTGTCACGCAATATTTAGAGGAAGTTGGTATTAATAAATTGAACTGGCCAGCGGGTTCGCCAGATCTGAACCCAATAGAGCACGTTTGGGACATGCTTGAACCAACGTGTACAGGCAGTCATAGAGGCTAGGGAAGGCAATACAAAGTATTAAGCTATTTTTTAGTAGTTTTTCTTTATTTGCATACTTAGGTTAAGTTACATTCAAGTTGTTTTTTTTTATGTTTTGTTATTGTTGTCATTGTTCATTAAAACCAAAATCATGTCGTTGCTTTTAATCATTATTTAGATATAATGCTTCTGGGATGTCGATATGACATTCCTTCGATATCAGTCACCAAAGCCCCCATCGTCGTATTAAAAATTAATACAAAAGATAAAAAGATAATGGTTTTAATAGGAAAAGTCGTAAATTGTGGGTGGCAAAGCCATTTCGCTCATAAAAATGAACCAATCCATATTTTAACATAAAACAAAAAAAAACGTAATACTTAGAAGACATGGTTGCAACCAAAAACAAAGTTTTACGAAAATTCGGTAACGGAATTATTCATCAGGATGTTTCAAAGTTAGGATAAAAAACCACCTATTGATTGACTGGTTTTCTATGAATAGGTTGGTTTTAAATCAAACTAAAACAGATCTTCTTTTGTTTAAGACAAATTATGCACATTCAGATATGCCAAACAGTATTATTGTAAATAATGACACTTTAAATATTAGCAGCAGTACCAAATTTTTAGGATTATATATTGATAGTTTTTTATGTTGGGATAAACATGTTGACCAGTTATGTATGTCTTTGAGTAAAGTGATTTACAGCTTTAGAGTTCTAAAAAAATACATGAATAGTAACTCATTAAAAACAGTGTATCATGCTAATTTTGAAGCAAAATTTAGATATGGTCTAATAAATTTTGGCCACAGTAGGGACATAAATAATGTATTTCTGGTTCAGAAAAAAATAATCAGAGTTATGTTTGACTTAAAGTTAAAATCATGTAGAGGGCATTTTAGGAGTAATAATATTTTAACAGTTTACGCTGTATTTATTCAAGAATGCTTACTGTTTCTATATAAAAATAAAATACTATTTAGGAACTTTGAGCCCAATAGTACAGTAAATACCAGGTTATATAATTATAAAATTCCAATACACAGGTTAAGTATAACAGAAAAAAAACGCTCTTTATTGCTGCATCAAATTGTTTAATAAACTGCCTGAACCTATTAAAAGGGAGGAAAGATTAAGTGTGTATAAACATCAAATATTTAAATTACTCTTGAGCCATATTCTGTGGAGGACTATTTGCATATGTAACGGTTAGGAATAAGTAAATAATATTTTCGTTTGTGACACTGTTTTTTTTTTTAAATAATTTTATGTTCACTGATTGTATATTATTTTCTAAAAATAAAGATATTGTTATGTTATGTTATGTTATGATTAACCCTGTATAATGAGTCAAATACAAAATTTTATTAAAAAACTCACTACACTAAATAAAATTTTATAAATTATTACACAGTGTACTAAAAAAATCATCAAAATAGAGATAAAAATAAAAACATTGAAATACTTTGAATTTGACCAAAATTTTCTGTTGCATTTTTTTGCATCTGAGTGTATGTATGGTCAATTAAAGATAAGTAACATATATGGAAGACAGTTGTCTCCACTCAAAATTAGATAAATAAGATCATAATACAAAAAACGTATTTTTAAGATACAATTTTTATTCAGTCTAAAAACCAAATGAAAAGTAGAAAATAGTTGAATTTTTTTTTTTTCAAATTAACGAAAAATTAATATTTTTCTGGAGTCTGTAGTTCATTAAAATAGAATTGTGTAAGTTTCGTGTTTAACATAGTCAGCCTTAAATTCATATAATTTAAGACAGCTAGTGTACATAAATCGATTTTGATTTAAAGCCGTTTCTAACCTAGGTATTCTTGCTAGAGGAATGGAAATAGCAATACAGCTATATATCTCGGCAGTTTCCGCTTCTTTGAGCACATCGTAGTCTAATAGGCATAGCAAATTTTACATCATTTTATTTTTGTAGACAAAGCTGAATATAAAAAAACTTTGATCGTCAGGCTTATCGTTTTATTAAATTTCGTTCTGTTTTTAGACCAATGATAGAAAAATCAGGACCGCTCAAAATACATGTAGCTGGTATTGAGTGCATGAACAATGATTATGAGAATGTCCACATATTGTATGCCAAGGCGAAAATTCTTAACGAAACTGGTGAAATGACTCTACAAACACTAGCAAATGGACTTTCTGTCCATTTTTATGAAAGAGGTATATACTTTAACCAAATATTTTTATTATCTACTGCTAAATATAACTTTTTTAATATAACTTATGATGACAAACAGAACACAGCTAAAAGTTATGTTGCTATTTCTGACTGTTGACAGGTATACTATAAACACGCTAAAACATTCCAGTTTAGTTTGAGCTGTTACTATAGAGTGGGTAGATAAAGAGATCTGTATTGCTGCCATTGCTCTACATAAGTGTGGAATAGAAAAAGCTTGTATTTTTGAATTAAGAGAACCATGACTCATCATCTGACCACTGTCTTCCCTCCATCTTCTGACCACTGGAATCTGTAGGTCTTCTTTCACATCATCAATCCATCTCCTATGTGGCCGTCCTCTGCGTCTTGTGCCCTCTGGTTTTAAAAATGTTAATCTCTTCGCTTAGGTTAGACAGTTCTCCAGTTGGATTGCTCGGTTTACAGGGGACACCAGCCCGAAAGTGAGAGTCGGATTTGAGTAGAAGAGGCTATTTATCCCCCAAGAGAACCATGAGTCCCATTATCAAAAAAGACATCGGACTTGAAGCTGTCAAACGTCAAAAAGGACAACGACTTACCGTTGCATTATAAAAAAATAGGAAAAAATCAAGACTCCTATTGTCATTGTACGGTAAATAACGTTACAAAAAAACCCCCTTTACAGATAAACAAATTTTCACTGTACAAGAAACTTACAATCAGCAAAATGATAGAGTTTGTGCACGGTCATCCCAGGAAGCCTGCGAACTGGTGCCAAGGATATAACGAGGTCATTATCCTGCGTCATTGATGGTTTGCCGGGAAGTGTTCTATGACGGCGTCACTTCTGTGACGCCGTCACAAACATTTTTGTGAAAAGGGCGTTAAAATAGCGGTGGCCAGAAATTACCGGCGGGATATTTTAACCACACTACGTTCCAAAATAGAACATGGTTATTCCATCAGGATTCTGCACCTGCGCACTAGACAAAAACTACTTAACAGTGCCACGAAAATCATGTCTATCCATCCTATGGCTCCACAGCCCAATTTGAGCCCAGGTCTCCCTCAATAAATCTCCCCATTCGTTACGGTCTGTAGTCATTCTCCACGATCGACTGCCAAGGAGAGTTCTGGACTCCTTCCAATAGGTCTCTTCTCCTTCTTTCTTGCATTCAACAGTTTTTTGGAAGCCTATTGTTTTCTTTCTTCCTAAATACAGGGCCTCCCCGTTGAAGACGCTATAGATGTACATACTGAGAAAAATAAGTATTATATATTTCATAATTCTGGTTTGCTATCTGCTGTTCTCATTTATAGGGGCCTAGTATTCGTCTCAGTACCTTTTATTCCAAGATGTCTACGCGGCTTACAGATTTTTGAGTCAAAATCCAAATTTCACATCCGTAGCTCATGATTGGTAGGATTATGGTCTTGTAGATTTGTATCTTAGTTCTTCAATGTACGTCTCTTTAACAATCATGTACAGAATTTATTAGTAGTGACCATTGGTCTCCAGCCAGCCCAGATTTTAATCCACTCGACTGCAAAGTGCGGTCAGTTTTAGAGCGCATGGCCAGTACAAGACGTCATTCTAATCTGGAGTATCGAAGCAAGCGCTGGTAGAATAATCAAAATGAAGTAATTATACATAAATACAAGATAATAATGATAATGAATAAAATATAAAATGATGAATAAAATAAAATAGTTTATTCATCACAAACCAGTAGTTTTATTTTTTGAATATAATGATAAATACAAGATAAAAATGAAAATTTAACTGATGGATAAATTCTATATTTAACATATTTTGAAAATTACTAAAATCATTATGTATATACACAAAATGTTTAAAGAAAAAAATTAATATTTTTTAACTTGTAAAGAACTTAAATTTGTGGTATTATTATAAAAAAAATATTAACAATTCAGTATACAGTATACACAGACAAAATTCCATTAACCCACATATGGTTGTAATAACTGTAATAAAAAGTAGTTACTTCTATCGGCACCAAAATGCTACGCGCCGTTTCTTTGTAGCTTAACTTAAATAAAAATATTAACAAACCGATTTTAAATGTTTGTCATATTTGACCGTAGGTTTGTTGAAAAAGCATCAAGAAAATATCAAACTTCATATGACCTTGATAAACACCAAATACAGAGCAGAACCAGGCAGTCCAAGACGCAGATGGATTAAGAGGAAAAGTATCGATGCTAGAAAAATCATGGAGAAATACAAAGATTACGAATTTGGGCAATGCGATCTGAATTCTATACATATAGCAAACATATCAACTTTGGGAAAGGACGGATTTTATGAATTGTTAGCAAGCGTTGAGTTGTAATTTAGTTTTTTCTTATTTTATTTACTCCCGTTTTGTTGTATATACAATATAGTGTTTATTTAAATGGTTTGGTATTAAATATATGATTTGTTTCATTCACTATGTTTTGTGTTTAGAGATCGCAGGTTAATAGAAATTTAGAATAATAATGGAAGAAAAAATGCAATATTTTGACTGTAAATATTTTTTTTATAAGTAGGGGTGGTCCAAATGTTCGAAACATATACCTCGGTGGTAGAAGGTGGACACAACCGCTTTCCAGCCTCGGTTATGCAGGACTTCTCCAGCGCGGCCACGATGATACCCAAGTCCGCGCGCTAGGGTTGTTCTGACACCATCGCCGTCAATGCCAGAGATCTACCTGTTAAAAAAACACCCTCCTCAGCTGTGAATTACCGACCAGATCGTCCTGATTTGGACGCAACATCGACACGGCATTCATCCGATCTTTCATTCACGCACAATTCTCACGCACGGAACTGAAAACAGTTCCTTATAAAATGGATAATATACTACATTTATGTGACCAGAATCATTTTCCGATATTCCACTAAGACTTAGCGTGAAAGATGTGCGAAAATGAAAAAATAAACTTGGTGCAACCTATTAGGTAAATTTTTCGCTCCAAATGCAAACAAAAATGCTGTTACCACCTTCTGCTCTATTATCTACTGTATTTAATCGGAATACACCACAATTTTAATTAAAAATTTTGAAAACGTTTTCGAGGTGGAAATCAAGATGTCAAATATAAATTTGGATGATTACAACCAAATGCGGTTACTGCTAACGCCTGGTATAAATACGGCTTAACCGAATGACATAATAGAAGCGGAGCACTGGTAATATGATCAGGGGGATAGCATAGGCATTAGAATAATTTATTAATGTTTGTAGATTATAGTAATAAAATAAAGAATACAAATAAGAAGAGTGTGTCTGTCATGTTTGTGATTAGTAATAACGTATATTGATAGTTGGCAATACTATGTTACTCTCCACAATTTTCCGAATGTTGTCAGATACACACTTCATACTTTTCAGTATACTTGTAATTTGGTTATTAATAAACGTTTAAAAACCACTAAATATTTTAATAATCCTACACACAATATAGACAACAGAGATCGCCGTATAATAAACAATATCTATTACGAACAAACTGCAGCTGTTAGGGGATCAGTTAACAGACGATATAAAGATAAAAAGAGGTGTACGACAGGGATGTATATTGTCCAAATTATTGTTGAATTTATATTCAGAGCACATTATGAACCTAGCGCTAATGGACATAGACGAGGGAGTACTTTTAAACGGAGAACGATTGAACAACATAAGATACGCTGATGATACTGTCATTTTTGTAGACAGTATTGAAGGTCTGCAACATCGAGTTAGAATCTATGGAGAGGGCATCACGTGACTAAAAACGACCTCACTTCGGCCATATTGTTTTGACACTTTTGACAGATCGTATATGTTTATTTACGTTTGTTGTTTTTCGAATAATTTTAGTTTTATAATACTTTTATAGAAACTGTAATATATTGCGATAGTGCATAATAATGGTTTCTTGTTCTCAACGTAGTTGTAGTAGCAGAAGCAATGTTAATAAAAAATCTTCAGGAATAACTTGTACAGGTTAGTATACAAATATGTAAACAAAGTAATGGCCCGTACTTCAGAGAATAAATTAATAGAATTTGACTGTATTAATTTATCTTTATGTATAATATATCGTGTTTTTAGTGTTTACCGCGGGATAAATAAATCATACTTTATTAAAAATGTATTGCACTTTTTTAGATTGATTAAATCTTCTAAATAACTGGTCATATTTTTATAGTAGTGTTATTAATATTGAGTCCGGTCATGATCCCACCGCCATATTGGTATTATCGTTAGCCACGCCTACCTGCACCGTTTTTAATACACACGTTAATATGCTCATAGCTTTTCCATAGATTATAACTCGATGGTCTGCAGACACTTGTCTCCAGGGTGGCAGAAGTAAGTAGCAGGTTTGGGCTTGATTTGGTTATAAGCAAAAATAGGATACCACCTGGTCAATTACTAGTTAACCAACAACATATAATACAAATCACCAACTTTTGTTATCTGGGTGCAAACTTAAATGAACAGTGGGACCAATCGACGGAAATTAAGATAAGGATCGAGAAGGCAAGATCAGCTTTCGTCAAAATGAAAAAGATCTTTAACAGCCACAATATTAAATTGGAAATAAAAGTTCGTTTACTAAAATGCTACGTATTCTCCGTTCTTTTATATGACGTGGAGTCATGGACCTTAACTGAAGCATCACTGAAGAGACTCCAATCATTTGAGATGTGGTGCTACAGACAAATCGATACATTTTTGGCAAAGTAACGTAAGTCATCAAACACAATTTGTAGAAAAAACAATTTTTTAATTCAACCTGGTTAAAATTATTTAAATTATGACTGAAAAAACTTGTCCTACTTGTTCTAAAAAAGGTTTAAAGTAATTCTACGCTTACTACACTTTGGCAGTACCTTTTTAACAATAATAGTATTAGTTTAATTGAAAAACATGATTTTCGCCAAAAATGTCACTTACGTTACTTTGCCAAAAATGTATCGAAATGTTGAGGATTTCCTGGATAGACAGAGTTACCAAAGAAGAAGTACCACATAGAATGGGTAAAGAGCTCGAACTAGTAACCATAATACGTCGCAAACTGGAATACCTGAGCCATATAATGCGCAACCAAAGGAATGGAATACTGCTAACACAATATTAATACACAAAAAAGGGGACAATACAGATCTGAAAAATTATCGTCTAATATCACTACTATCACAACTTTATAAAACATTCACAAAAATAATTACAAATAGATTGACAACAAAGTTCGATGTATATCAACCAGTAGAGCAAGCCGGATTTAGAAAAGGGTTCAGTACATGTGACCATCTTCGCACACTAAAGGTCCAAATAGAAAAAGTTAACGAATACAATTTACCAATCCGTTTAGCATTTATAGACTACGAGAAAGCTTTTGACAGCATAGAATTATGGGCTATTGAGGAAGCACTGGTCAACAGTAGAATAGATTCTAGATATAGGATATTAATAGATAATATATATCAACACGCTGAAATGGTAGTCACGATGGATAATGGAATGAAAACGAGGCCAATAAAAATCAACCGAGGAGTAAGACAGGGAGACACCATATCTCCAAAACTATTCACTGCCGCACTTGAAGACAACTTTAAATCATTAAATTGGGAAACGAAGGGACTATCGATAAACGGAAAGTATTTAAACCATCTAAGATATGCAGATGACGTAGTACTAATAGCCGACAGCTGGAAAGAACTGAAGACGATGACCGATGAGCTTCATACGGAATCCATAAAAAAGGACTGAAAATGAATCTGAGTAAAACTAAGCTAATGTCGAATAAAGATGATCAACCGACGATAACCATCCAAGGAATAAAAGTGGAACATGTAGAAGAATACATATATCTGGGTCAGAATATCAAGGTAAACAAAGAAAACCAAACTACCGAAATAAGCAGACCAGTAAGAATGGGATGGGCCGCATTTGGAAAACTCTCATACATACTGAAAGACAAAAAGATACCCCAAAACCTTCGAACCAAAGTGTTCGATTCTTGTATCCTTCCCGTTCTCACTTACGGAACTCAAACCTGAACATTCACAAAAAAGAACATGGACAAGATTCGAAAAACTCAGCGAGCCATGGAACGACAGATGCTTGGTATCTCACTAATAGATCGGCAAACGAACGAAGCAATCCGGAACAAAACAAAAATAAAGGACGCCGCGAAACAAGCAGCTAAATTAAAATGGAAATGGGCTGGACACAACGAACGTCTTGAAGATGGTAGATGGAACAAAGAAGTCGGAAACTGGCTACCGTACGATGCGAAGAGACCAAGAGGAAGACCTCAAATGCGCTGGAGCGACGATATCAAAAGAGTCGCAGGACCAATGTGGAAACGCCTAGCACACAACAGGGATGAATGGCGAGAAATGGGAGAGGCCTTTATTCGACAATTCGGATAGAAAAGGGCTATAAAAAAATAATGCGCAACGAACAACGATATGACTTACTACTGACAATGTGCGAACGTACTAATGACCTGGCCGACGACGCTCCAAATCCAAAACCTTATATTCACTCGATGCGATGGGCAATTCAGCTTCACAGCTCCAGTTGCCACAGCAAACTCAAGCTCTGAACGCTTGGGAAGCTCCGATGGAAGGAAAACCAACGTTTGCAAGCGAACAAAGCAAGGAAAAGGTGCAAACGACGCGTGCGCTTCAGGAATAGGTGGTTGAATGTAAACAACCACCGAATACTGCGAGCTGTACCGCAAATTGCACAAGGAAACCGGGATAGATCAGGCTTTCGGCAGCTCTATGCGTTTTTGCTTCTCCTAGAGGTTGAACAGCAATAGTGTAGGTTCAGTTAAAGGGTTCGTATGAAAGGCCACCTGTGTAGGCTGTTGCTGTTGTTGTTTAGCCTCCAATGACCTCCATCACTGGAGACCACCTTCCGCCAATTCACCACATTGACGTCACCAATTCCCTATCCCCCCTAATGTTTGTCCACAAGAGTCCTCTTGTGGCACACAACAACAGGTCCTCCATTACTTTTTTACCAGTGTAAATGGACAGCTCGATAGGTAAAATAGATCCCATCTTGCCTGGCTACTGCACCCTCCACCGACCCCGCTGTTAGGTATCTCACGATAACGGCATCCTTATCAAATACGGAACCCCCTTTTCCCCTCACCATTCCTCCGCACATTATCCTGAATGATGAAGACTTCCTGGCAGTGGAGATCCACCTCGTTAACAATACCACACTTACACACTAGTCTCTTATTACAAACACCCTCTTTCAAGCATTGTTTGAATATGCCGCCAGCCTGAATAAGGCCATCATTATGGGAGACCACCAGGCACACACAATTAGCAGACCTCTGCCTGTTCCTTGACCTTCCTCTGCATCGTATAAATAACCTAAAAGAACATTTTTGGGTTCCCTTGGCATGTCGTCTATCGATCACGTCGTATGTACTTACATTTCTATTTTAGTGAAGTAACTGGTGCTAAATTATTTACCACTTAATACCCTTATTACCCTTACAATAAGAGACTACACACACGCCAACTGGAACCGCTTCAAAGATCATCTGTCAGCTAATATTCCTCGGTTAGGTAATTTTAATTATCCTGATGGTATCGATCATGGTTATACGGTTATATTAACGAAATGATAAATAAAATAATTGAGATATCAGTACAATATAACCCCCTTATCAAAACAGAATATATCATGTCTGCCTGCGGTAATGAAACTACCAGTTAATGGCGGGCAGCCACCATCAGT